ATTCTCTCATTAAGTTTAGACTCAGGAATATTTATGTAATGGGTAGAAAAGTTAAGTATGATTATACATATTTGATTTGATTTGATTTGATTTGATTTATACAATTGCACGAGAAAAGGGACTTGGATTGTATGTCCTCTAAGAGTTTTTTATGCCCCCGCAACTAAAAGTTGGGGGGGGGGGGGGCATATTGTTTTACCCCTGTCCGTCCCATTGTGGGTATATAGTTATTCCGCATAACTCCTCCTACAGTTTGAATCCTAGGAAGTTTTCACCTTGCTGTCTGCTTGTACATATATTGAAGGTGTGCATGTGGTCAGGTTTTTTATTTTTATTAATATTTGCTTTTTTGGGAGATAGTTGAACTTCGTCATTTTTGGGGTATAAGCGGTTAAATGTTATAGTTATTTTAAAATAACACTTTGCATCTGCAGGGGCATCAATTGTGTCTCCCAGACACAATAATATCGAAAAGAAAGTCCTACATTATAATACAGTTACTTCAGAGTGGAGTGCGGGGGCATCACTTTGTCTAGTTTTACTTGTTTTAGTATTCAAATCTGATATGGTTCACATCGTCTTTAGAGAAACAAGTTTTTCACTGTCAGTGACTATGAAGCCTGGTATTGTTTGCTGATAAAGTGGAAGTTGTAATTTGGAAACTGGTTTCGTGGAGCAATTGAATAGACCCAGCAATACAATGTAAACAGAGGAAGAAACTACTAAGTGGACAATCACAAACTCTTAAGTCGAAGATAAAGAGACAACAAAACAATGCCGAAAGGAAAAGCGATGAAAAGACGAATAACGGTCTACAAAACACTATACATAGACAACAATGACTTAGCAGCATGAACTCTATAAAAAACCGGAAGGAAATCTGTTTATGCCGTCCAACTACTATTGCCCATCATGAATACATGATGCTCTTGACAAGTAAAAAGTAGCTTATAAGCTGAAATTATTGTCACAGTCTAAGAAAAGAGGATGGGATTGTGACAAATGGTACATATCTGTGGTAAGGTTTTGGTGTACATTCATTAGACGGTAGTGAAAAATCCAGTTCTTAGCCATGCATTATTGGTTGGAATTCCAAATGAACACAACATAGACCTATGATTATTCAGGGTAATTTTCAATTTAATTTTTATTTCTTTCATTGAAGGAAGTTGTCAAAGTAAAAATTAAATTCGCCTTCCGAGAGGTCATAATTATTAGCTCATCTGGCCCAAAGTCCGGTTTGAGCTTTTGCTATCTCGTTCCTTAAATGATGATTTTTACCATTTTTTTTGTTTTTGCCTATTATCTTGAAAATTACAGTAGATCAAGAGAAACTTTAAATAGCTCAATTATCTACAAGACAAGGTCTACAAAAAGTCACATAGCTGAAATTGTCGTCTAAATGCATCTAAATGCATGTACACCCCTTCACTAAATATCGTACAAGGTAAACAAATGCACAAGAACCCATCCTTGCAGTACTATTATGACCTTGAATTAAGACAATGATACTAATGCCCTTGAACTTACACTTATCTGACCATGAAAACTACATTGACAAATGAACCCTGAAAGATGGACACATACACCAAATATAATTGATCTATTGCTTATATCTGAGAAACAGAACTACATGTACCACAAAAACTACATTTTTTAAGTAGCTTTTGGATCATGAAAACGATGTCAAGGACTTTAGACATATGCAACACAGAAATTTCAGAAAAGAAAACATCTGTATAAAAGATGTGAAGTATCAAGGTCTTGTGCCATCTGAAATATAAAGTTTTATACAAATGGTTTACACATTCATATAAGCATCCCTGTGTCGTGTATTCTGTGACACAGGCAAAACAAAATCTACCCTCCACAAAATAAAACAACTCTTACAAATTCAAAATACAGAAAGCATTTGAAATTCTTGGTATATAATGGTGTACAAATTTATTAGAATTAATGGAATCTCCTCAGTTGATTAATACCCACCCTTGGTCAGGGCAAACCAAAGATATGAAAATTTGTATTTGCAATGACTTGTCCACTCAGAGTCGGATATATGTGTCTTGGTAGGGCGACATGTCTTCCTACGACCATATTTATCTTGTGAACTAGCTTTTTAAAAATCCAGGTAAGCATGTCAGTCTAGTAGAAAGCAGGGTTCACATTCCTATTATAATAACATGTTCTTCCTGAAAATGTATGTAATATTTGCCACTGGACATTCAACACCCATTCATCTATTTGCAAAGTAATGTGTATTAAATTTAAGCCATTTGATTCAAATGAACATGTACAGTAGTTTTTCTATGTGGACCTACACATCCATATGACTGTTTGTTGTCATCTTAGAATGAATGAAAAATCCCAGTACTGATGAATAACAGTACTGTGACAACAGGTCATCATTCAAAAATCTAATACTTTCATATGGAGAGAGGTTATAACCTGATTACTTGGACAGTATGCCCTACTCATACTATCACATTTGCATGTCCAGTGAACTACATAATCTAGGAACAAGAGTGCACACGCTGAAATGTCTTGCCTTCTTTACTAATTATTGATATTATATTGATAATCCTAAGTATAAAGCTTTACTACAACTAAACATAAACTTAACATGATCCAAGAAAATGATGTCAAGGTCATATAAACCAAACAAGAAATACATGTACACCTCACAATCATTCAATACACTAAATATAGTTGACCTATTGCTTATAGTTTCTAAGAAACAGACTTAACCATGAAAACTAAATATTGACCAATGAACCATGAAAATGAGGTCAAGGTCAGATGAACCATGCCAGTCAGACATGTACAGCTTACAATTCTTCCATACAACAAATATATTTGACCTATTGCTAATAGTTTAAGTAAACAGACCAAAACACAAAACTTAACACTGAGCAATGAACCGTGAAAATGAGGTCAAGGTCAAATAAAACCTGCGAGACTGACATGTACATCATAAAATATTTCTATGCACCAAATATAGTTGACCTATTGCATATAGTATTAGAAAAAAATACCAAAAACTCAAAAACTTAACTTTGACCACTGAACCATGAAAATGAGGTCAAGGTCAGATGACACCTGCCAGCTAGACATGTACACCTTACAATCATTCCATACACCAAATATAGTAGACCTATTGCATACAGTATAAGAAAAACAGACCAAAACACAATAAAATGCTCCGCTGGGGCGCAGCTTGATACGACCGCAGAGGTCGAACCCTGAACAGTTGGGGCAAGTATGGACACAACATTCAAGCTTGATACAGCACTGAATTTGGATTGTAATTAAATATTTGACACAGCATAGGTTTCTGACCCAGAATGAAAGTGGCCTAAGAACTTAAAAATTTACCTATTAAAACCATATCATTATTATTTGCTTTTATATATAAATCAGAAATAACCAATTTAAAATGGAAAATTTTAAAGAAAAAAAAAGGAAAACCCCCCCCCCCCCCCCAAATTTTTTGAACCCCCTTATGATTCATCACCCCCAAACTCAATCCCAGCCTTCCCTTTGTGGTATGGTACCTTACAGTACAATTTCAGAGAGATCCATACTCTTGAACGCAAGTTATTGTCTGGAAACTAGAAAAATGCTTGTTTTTTGGCCCCTTTTTGGCCCTAAATTCCTTAACGTTTACGGCAATTACCCCCAAACTCAAACCCAGCTTTCCCTTTGTGATATGGAACCTTGCAAGACAATTTCATAAAGATCCATACACTTACACACAAGTTATTGTCCTGAAACTAGAAAAATGTTTGTTTTTTTGCCCTTTTATGGCCCCTAATTCCTGTAATTTTGAGAGAATTATCCCCAAAATCAATCCCAGCCTTCCCTTTGTGGTATGGTACCTTGCAGTACAATTTCAGAGAGATCCATACACTTGAACACAAGTTATTGTCTGGAAACTAGAAAAATGCTTATTTTTGGCCCCTTTTTGGCCACTTATTCCTAAACTTTTTGGGCAATTACCCCCAAACTGATACCCAGCTTTCCCTTTGTGATATGGAACCTTGTAGTACAATTTCATAAAGATCCATACACTTACACACAAGTTATTGTCATGAAACTAGAAAAATGCTTGTTTTTTGCCCCTTTTTGGCCCCTAATTCCTAAAATTTGGAGGCAATTACCCCCAAAATCAATCCCAGCATTCTCTTTGTGATATGGAACCTTTTGGTACAATGTCAGAGAGATCCATACACTTACACACAAGTTATGTCTGGAAGTTACAAAAATGCTTATTTTTGGCCCCTAATTCCTTAACTGTTGGTACCATAACCCCCAAAATCAATCCCCACCTTCCTTTTGTGGTATTGAACCTTATGGTAAAATTTCATAGAGATCCATTCACTTAAACTAAAGTTAGAGTGCGAAAACTAATGTGTGTTTTCGGACGACAACGACGACACTATAACCACTGAACCATGAAAATGAGGTCAAGGTCAGATGACACCTGCCAGTTGGACATGTACACCTTAGTCCTTCCATACACCGCGAATATACTAGACCTATTGCTTATAGTATCTGAGATATGGACTTAATCACCAAAACTTAACCTTGTTCACTGATCCATGAAATGAGGTCGAGGTCAAGTGAAAACTGTCTGACGGGCAAGAGGACCTTGCAAGGTACACACATACCAAATATAGTTATCCTATTACTCATAATAAGAGAGAAATTAACATTACAAAAAACCTTATTTTTTTTTCAAGTAGTCACTGAACCATGAAAATGAGGTCAAGGACCATGGACATGTGACAGAAGGAAACTTTGTAACATGAGGCATCTATATACAAAGTATGAAGCATCCAGGTCTTCCACCTTCTAAAATATAAAGCTTTTAAGAAGTGAGCTAACGCCGCCGCCGCTGCCGGATCACTATCCCTATGTCGAGCTTTCTGCAACAAAAGTTGCAGGCTCGACAAAAAATTACCAGACAATACTCCACACAAGAGAGATTAATAAAAACAACATGAATTCAATGCATTTTATTATTAATAATTATAAGATAGATGCACATCACACTGGTACTGTCCAGCTCCATAATTCTTATCTGTAAAAATAAAAGAATAATTTCCTCAAATCTATGCATATGATGGTTTAAAAACCCCACATTTCTTGAAAATGAGTTTATGATGACCCTAAATCAAAACTTGTATACATTACATATATTAATTTCTTTCAGAAAAAATTCATTCATAAATTCATTGTACATACATTTTATTTTCTACCTTTCCATAATTATGAACATTTTATAATAAAACATTGTTTATGACCTGATTAAGTAAAACTATTTATATCCTGAAAGGACTAAATTGATTAAAATTTGAACAAGGAAGAATTTGTTGATTGAAATCTGATTCTTTATAAATAAACCATAGCTTTCACCAAAGATTAAAATTCTTTAAACAACCCTGACAAAAACCATATCAATCTTATTATTTATATTTTAAACTGATTAAGTTTTTCATTTTTATTTATGTCGCATGTGCCATAAAATGATGTATGTATACAGTTTCTTTAATTTTCAGATTAACAACAGATCACTTAATATGATTAAATACACAAAATTTGTTTACAAATTACAAAGAGAAAAATAAAAAGTATGGTCAGTGGTATTGTTCCTGTATTGGATCAGAAAAGAATTATAAAGACCAAGACAGACCATAACAAGCTCTGCTTCCACAGACATTCTCACAACATCCTGTAACATATAATACAGAACAAAATTCTCAACATTTTCTGCTTATTGCATTTATGAAATTCTCAATTCAATTTCAAAATGGATTTATTTACAAATGCTTATTTTCCCCATTTTCTGTTTATAGGAATCAAAAGTGTAAAAGTAAATCTATTTTTTGTAAATAAGGTCAGAGGGGATAGACAAACTAGCTCAGATACATAAACACTATCATACTGCACATGTGAAAGGATTGTGTATAATATGGAACTTTGCAGTCACTTAAAGTGTCTTTCTTAAGTTATAATATGCATTTAACATTGACCTATACAAACCAAGTAGAGTTTTAACTATTTCATATAACAACAGAAACCATACATATGATTATTTTAAACTAGTTTCTAAAATGAGGTCAATCTTATTTTAATTCAATCAAGTTGACATATTGCAACCAACAAACTTGATACTGTTTTCAAGGTTTGTCAAATAGATCTGAATTTACAGAAGTTGTGATGTTACATTCAAACTTAATTCCTTATCTGTTTGGTTACCATGTGCTTGATAATGAAATGATTACCTTGCAAAAATGTTTGACTTCATTCATCATTCATGTTATACATTTAATATACTTTCATGATACAAACAAATTCTAAAGGCCTTTCAGGAAAGCACTTGTACATAACAAGCATGTTTAAAGCAAAGCAAGTATATTTAATTGGAATTTTTTTTTTCTGTTGAAATTGGAAGATGTGGTTAATTTCAAGAAAGAATTTACAGAAGTCAAAAGCATTTTGCTTCTTTTAAAGATCACATAGCTAAGATTAGACATAAATAATGAAACAGTGGAAATTCTTAATTAACACATATAAATAGCACTTACTGTACAAAACAGAAACAAAAAGGATAAAGAGCAATAGAAATATATTAACTACAGAGAGCAAAATATTTACCTCAAACAAAAACAATTTCACATTTTCATCTGCTTATTAAAATGAATACCATACAACTGTCATTCCTTTTGAAGGACAGACTACTATCTACCTAAAATGTCCTATTTGTTTTCACCAATTTGGAACTAAAATAAATATGATTAGATAATGATGTGGAAATACATAATTCACATAATCAGTCAACAATTAACAATAAAACAGGATCTTAAATGTGAAAATGCATTTGTATGACTATCACGTGCAAATCACAAACTATACATTACGAATAGCAAAATCAAAACATAACACACAAATCTGTGATTCTTATAGTATTCTATTTACTACTTTGTGAATAACCAAGAAAAAAGCTGTTGTCAAACACAAATTTCATCTCATCTGCATGGTCAATAAAAACTTAAAAGACCATTTTCTAAAAAATTGTCAGGGTTTAAAAATGTTTTTGTTCGAGTTTGGGGTCCTTCACCTTTTGAACTTTCATCATTTACAATATTATTTCAATGAAACTTTCAAACATACCCAGCTTCTTTGAATAACTGTTCTATACAAAAATGTTTGAAATGTTCCACTGACTTGACTAATTGAAACTGAATCTATAAAAGAAGATGAAGTTAGAAGGCATTTCATGTTAGTTAGGTGGTCCTAACTTTAACTGACTGTTTGTTTTATAGTACATTACTTAAAATTTCAAATGAATTTCTTTCACATGCTACATATGCCTGCCATTGAACATCATTTTACTGGACCAACCTTAACATGCCAGTAAGTAAAATTTGTAAAATAAAATCTAAAACCTGATTGTATTTTTTCAAATTCATTTAATCAACTCATTCCAATCTTTATCAGAATGTGGATTTGAAAAAAAGGATAATTTGCCAGAATTGCATGATGGGCAAAATAAAACTTTTTTTCTGTACAACCTTTTAAAGGAAACAATTAAATGTTTACAAAAAATAATGAAGATCTTTTTTAACACAATAATCATACAAAAATATAATCAACACTATATATATATCATATATACAATACAAACTGCAACAATTAAATAACTCAACAAAGACTTAAACACACATCAACATTTCAAGTCAATTCTTTACAATTACACAAACTTGTGATCAAATTTTTTACATATTTTCATTTTAAATTGACTAATGTATATTATTATAGCCATAGGCTAAAATTGTAATGACTGCATAATTTGACGACAAATTTTTCATATAGATAAACACATCTTTGTAACTTCACAAAATTGAAGGTCTACAAATGCAGACAAACTCTCTTATATTGAAGATAACATTAGTCTGTTCTCTATGATGGAGGTAATTTTAATGCGAATCAAGTCTTCTGTAGTATAAGAGGTATGGAACACGAGGGGCAGAAAACTGTAAGACTGTAGTTACTGGAACAATTTTAACATTGCTATCATCAAAGATCACCCATCTGTTGATTGCAGGATGGAACACTGCTGTGGTATAATGTCCTCCGGTCGCCTTCTTACCATGGTGATATACAACTGGAAAAAACAGATTAATTGTCAGGTACTTACAGATTGTTTTAATGTATTAAGTGACATAAGTGTATATACATGTACATCTATAATAAATGTCTAAACAAGTCAGTGGTTGTCGTTTGTTGCTGTATATCACATTTGTTTTTCGTTCATTGTTTTGTACATAAGTCAGGCCATTAGTTTTCTCGTTTGAATTGTTTTGCATTTGTCATTTCGTGGCCTTTTTATAGCTGACTATTCAGTATGGGTTTTGCTCATTGTTGAAGGCCGTACAGTGACCTGTAGTTGTAAACTTCTATGTCATTTGGGCTCTGGTTGAGAGTTGTCTCATTGGCAATCATGCGACATCTTCTTATTTTTATATTGATATAAAAATAAGAAAGAAGACGTGGTAAGATTGCTTATGACACAACTCTCCACCAGAGACCAAATGACTAGACGTTACAACTGTAGGTCACTGTCTGATGTCCATTTCATATGAAAAGCATATATAGATAAGTTTCAAATAAGAAGACTGTCGCACAGAAAAGCAAAATTTTTAATAATTCCACACTTTCCTTGAACATTTTAAAGGCAATGTTTAAGCAAGTTACCTTATGTATACCAGGTAAATGAAATAGGAAAGTTAACTAGCAAACAGCTACAATGGTTCTTGTTACTTGCTTTATAGTTCTGGTCAGGTTTAGAATACAATGTAAGTGATCATTTGAGACTCAGACATATGTATAGGTATATAGGAACAGTGTATATTTTAATACATTGTGTATTAACTGTGTTATCAAATTATAATGTGATGCTTGTTAAAGGGGCATTAGCTTTTAAAATTCACGACCACAGAATTGGCTCAAACTCTAATTTGATTGATTCAATACTAAAATATTTACCAAGATTACATAGGTAACAATAAAACAATGCATGAAATCATAATAAAGTATCAGCATTTTGTGCTTATTTTAGGTCATGAAGCCATCTAATTAACCATTGACATAACCTGGCAAGACTGGTTATGGTCAATAGACCTGATTGTCTTGAAAAACAATATTTCAGACATGTTTTTTTTAGCTTACTTTTACCAAATAGAACCAAACTGGCTGCTAATATTGAATTATTATTTCAATTTTCCACTTTTGTTAATGTTTGAAATTAAAATAGTGATACTTTCATTATTTGTCTTAATCTTATGTAAAAGAATGCTTTTGAAATTTCTTTAGATCATTGTATAAATTACCTGCAAACAATTTATATTGTCTGTAATAGTTAGGGTACTTGTTTTTCACACTGGGAGAAAGTAAATCTGTAAAATAAATAATCATAAATACATATGTATGAAAGCATGCTAAATTCTTTATTGATAAAGTTAATGTTAAATCCTTTACAGCAATTACATATATATATTTATTGTACCAAACATGTCTAGATCCAAACATGAAAATTTAAGATCAATTGAAAACTTAATTTTATTTAAAGTATAAATTCAGCAAAATGTGTCCATGGAATTTAGGAACTAGCCATTTTCAGTAATATTACAAGGTTTGGTAGGTTTTTAATGATGACTGGCCATTCTAATTAATGCTGTTTTTTCATGATTACTTGCAACAAATTTTGTATCATTTAAGGAACGGAACACAGTAATGCAAGTTATTGCTTGGTAACTTGTTTCAGCTAGCGTGTGTATTTTACCCATTTGTTATAGTTCTGACTGTATGGAACCTAAAATGTCATAATAAACTGTTATCACAGAGATATGTCTCGCTTTTTAGTAATTTTGATTATGCAAATGTTGAAATTAAAATGGCAATCCTTAACAAGTTAGGCTAATATTCAAAGTCAATGAACCATGACTGAGGTACATGGCTAAACCATCTCCATGTAAATGAGATATGCCAATGCTTATACAACTGCATACAAAATATCATTGACCTACCACTAATGGATCCCCATAACCTGACCTAATCACAAACTAATACATGTAAAATAAGCAAAAGTTTCGAAGTCAATAGACCATGACTGAGGGGCAGGGCCAAATAATCTCCATGGAAATGAGATGTGCCAATGCTAATACAACTGTATACCAAATATCATTGACCTACCACTAATGGTTCCCCATAAACTGACCTAATCACAAACTAATACATATAAAATAAGCAAAAGTTTCCAAGTCAATAGACCAGGACTGAGGGGGCAGGGCCAAATAATCTCCATGGAAATGAGATGTGCCAATTCTAATACAACTGTATACCAAATATGATTGACCTACAACTTGTGGTTCACCACAAACTAATACATTGTTGACGCCGTCGCCAGAAACAGCATACCTATGTCTCGCTTTTTGACTCTGTCAAGCGAGACAAAAATAGGACATTTTGTGCACTGTTCAGTTACAAGTTTCTACACCAAGTTAGGACAAAGAAGGTCATTATCAAATCTACCATAAACGATGTTTTCTGAAATGCCAGTTTGTGTGGACACTGATATTTGATTACTATAAAGTTAAGTTTATTTTTCAATACCCTTTTTTAAAATTTTACGACAAATAACAGAAGAAAAACATATATTATCAACATGTAATTTTACAATATATCAATAAATATAATTCACAAAATAATTTTCAATACAGAGACAATACTCTTTTAAAGATAGTTATAGTAATTATAATATACTGTATGGTACAAATGCCTCCCTCCAGTAAAACTAACCTTTTGTGATTTCCAGATCAATAGTAAAGTTAACATCTTTAATGAGTTTCTGACTTCCACCATCTTTGTCATAAACAAAACATTTCAAATGTAAGATCAGAACAGGTGGCAACTGTTCTATTGTAAGTTTTTTCGTTATTTCCATCTGAAATAAACATATACCTTTCAAGATAAGATGATAACAGCTATATTTTTATTTTTTAAAGAAATCGGTGGCTGATTTATCTATTTATTTGATCAATTATTCAAAATTTTGGAAAAGTCTGAATAAATTGAAACCAGGAATTAATATTGCTTCAATATAAAAGATAATTAACCAAAAGATTGATTCTTGATTTATAATTGCAGTAAATATTCAATGAAATGTACAGGAAATTATGCTTTTCTATGCAACTACATTTTGAACTTTTAGTTTAGTAAAAAAATGTCTTGATATTTTATAACAGTATATTTTTCTATCCTTTTCTGAGAATGTTTGAATCTTTTTCACTATTGATAACACTGTTTTCTGCTATTTTATTTGTATTACTTATTTTGAGAAGCAGGGTTTTGTACACTTTTTCCCCCACATACCTTCCTTTTTAAGTAACAATTTACCTCTGCATTTGTTTTGGAGCATGTGAATCCACTGACTGATTCCTTACTAACCATCCTCTCTAATGCCTCCCGTACAGTGCATACTTTTTCAGACTATAAAAACAGATAAGCATTATAATTAGTTCACAAGCACTTAAAATTTTGAGAATAAACTGTTATAAAGACGACTTTTTTGCACTGTAAAACTTAGACTTTTGAGTGGTATGAAGTTGTACAAATGAAGAAAATGGAAATGATTCCACATGTATGAAAATATTTAAGTCATCCATTTTTGGCTGGGTTGCACAAGTAAAAATGTCACATAGTAAAGTGAATTTTTGCTTTATCTGATCTAACAAATATTCATCCCTTAATGGAAAATGTCTCTACTGGACTTTAACAGATGTAATTGTAAGGGTCTTTTTTATAATTACTGGACATTTGACAACAGCAAAGAAACACATTCTATCAGACGTACGCTGGAATTTTTGCAAATGTCAGATAAACTGGAGTGACAGATATCACTACAATGTTGTCAAAACCGGGATGAACCTTATTACATAGTAAAATATAATCACAAAAGACCATGTCAAACACAATATGCAATGATCGCAAAATATCTGGCTGTTGTCATAATTGTTTGATGTACTTTCTAACATTTCATACATTTGGTTTAAAAAATAAAATAACTTAAACCAAATCAATTGACAATTAGAATTACCTGAATGTCTAATTTGAGTGTGAAGAATGGTTCCACAGTTGCTGAATCTTTTGATGTAGTTTTAAATACTGCTGATCTAATGTATCCAACAAAGATATCTGCTAGAGGGCTCACTTCAAAATCATTCTGCAACAGAAAAATAGGCATTTTAAACTGTTTATGATGAGACTGATGTGGAAATATCTGAACAAAAGCTTCCTAATGAGAATATTTATGGCAAAGTCCATCTTTTACTGTGAAAAATCATTGCAAATCAAAACAAAAATAGCTGTTGCACACTTTTCTTAAAGCTTCAGTGAAGTTAAATCATTGATGTAGGAGTTGCAGATACAAAGATCTACGCAACTTGCAAAGATATAGGAAGTTCCATGTTTTGCTTAGGAAACTACACAGTTTGGATAAAAAAGAGCTGCAAAATCTCATGAAATTTTCACTAGAATAAGTTTCAGGTTCAAAGCTCACCACCCATTTGTCAAGACAGGGCGAAGTTCACATTTGACTATGGTAAAACCGCTAAATTTTCCGCATCAAAGAATGCAATCTTCTGAAAGTTTCATTGAAATTCAGACAAGGGTTTTAGTGGAATAGCAGACACAGTATGCAGACAGAAAGACAAATAATCAAAAAGACAGATGGATAAAACAGGCACCAAACTAAACAACTCGACTCACTTACCATGGAGTATAAATAAATATCAAAGGTTACCTTTCTTGTTAGTACACTTTTCTTTTTAGGTCCGACCTGTTCCCATGAATCAGCATCAACATCTTCATCACCACTGTTATCTAATACACCATTAGCTTCATACTCTGAAGAATTCAAAGTATTCATTATTTTAAAAGCAGATTTATATAGGGTTTTCAACTACAATGACCCAAAAGGACTGACTCTGCTACAGAAATAGGGTCATCCCTGGACTTCTCCCCTTCGGCAGTAAAACCCTGGCTACAGTGGGGGTTTCCATTTGTCTGTGCAGAATGAATATATTCCCAGTAATGTCTAGTTAAAATTGGAATGTTAAATACCATGCCTCATTCAGGGTGAGTGCATGTTAAACAACTTGCAACAACTCTTTGAGGGATATGTAGGTAGCCTGTTGCAAGGTAAATTTCTGCCCTTATCATATCCTCATTTTCCAGTGGCAGAACTTCATATCAGTCAACAACTTACCATGTAGAAATTGCTTATTGTATTAATTTTATATTTGTTCTCGACCTAATTATGCATGAAATATTTGCTACTGGACATTAAACAAGTAACAGTCGGTGAATTTATCAACTAACTACAATACCAACAAACATATGCTAAGTCAACCAGCGTAACTTAAAAGTCATTTATCTCTTTACACAAGTTTGGACTTTAAATGATCAACAATAAAACCAGTCTACCTTAAGGTCATCAAACTCTACACAGGTTCGGACTTGAGATATAGTTAACCTTTACCTGCTTCCCCTTTGTGTACTCTCATACATGCAACCATTTCTTCATGCATCCCATCTAATATACAACTCAGGAATTCCTCTGCATCTTCTTGTCTTCCTAACTGTTACAAAAATGTAAAATAATTTATTTGAATTAATATCTCATTGCTTTAAGAACAAGAATGTGTCCATAGTACAAAACTCTAATTTGGCATTAAAATTAGAAAGATCATATCATAGGGAACATGTGAACTAAGTTTCAAGTTGATTGGACTTCAAATTCATCAAAACCTACATTGACCAAAAACTTTAACCTGAAGCGGGACAGATGGACTAGGTGGGGCAAAAAAAAAACAAATGTAAAGGTAAGGGATATACAAGAAGTTCCAAATGGAAGAAATACTCTGTAATATTTTTTCCACCAGAACAAATCTTACAGTATTTGCTTCTTACAGAATAAAAACTGTATTATTTTTTCCATTGGAAAAACATTACAGTATTTGTTCCTTACTGAATAAAGGGTTTAGAATATTTGTTCCAACAGGAACAATTATTATGGCATTGTTTATAATAAAGTTTCAGGGGAACTTCTGTAAGGCAGAGCCATATATGTTGACAGGACAGTCCTTAATGTGATTTATATATGTTTTTTTTTCAAGCTTCAAATAGTTTTTAAGGAAAAAAAGATCTTTGTATGAAATCTGAATGGGTGGTTTGTGTGTGAAACAAAATGTAGAGTTGATTATGGCTTACTTATTTATACCCCCATCTCACTTTTGAGTAAAAAGAATTATCTAAACCAAACAAAGTTGTAGCAGACAACAGACGTATGCCATGCACTTAGTCCAAATTATCAAGCAGAAATGACTTGTAGTTGAAGAGAAATAAATAGGGAATGTGTCCAAGGGACACAGATGATGCCCCCGTTTGCATATCATATAAAGTAATAAAGGGACATAACTGAAGAACAATAAAAGTGACGCTACCCAAATTTGTACTTGCTGAGTTTTGTGGTAATAAGGATTGTGTATAAGTTTCATAACGTTTGGTTGAGGCAAACTTAAGTTAGAGAACGGAAATGAAAAATTCAGCAATTTTTCCATTTGTAAAGGGGCATAGCTCTAGAACGGTTAAAGTGACGCCACCAAAATTCAAATTTGATTTGTGCTTTGAGATAATAAGCATTGTGTATAAGTTTCATAACATTTGGTTGAGGCAAACTAAAGTTAGAGAACGGAAACCAACTTTGGGACGTACAGACGTACCGGCGGACAAGGGTAAAACTTAATGCCCCCTCCGCTACGGCAGGGGCATAAAAAGCTACAAAAATTTCTTACATATTCATTAACGTAACGAACATAAAATAACATGTTTAACCCCACCACATTCTGTATGTATGTGCCTGTCCCAAGTCAGGAGCCTGTAATTCAGTGGTTGTCGTTTGTTTATGTGTTACATATTTTTTTTCGTTCATTTTTTGTACATAAATAAGGCCGTTAGTTTTCTCGTTTGAATTGTTTTACATTGTCATTTTGGGGCCTTTTATAGCTGACTGTGCGGTATGGGCTTTGCTCATTGTTGAAGGCCATACGGTGACCTATAGTTGTTAATTTCTGTGTCACTTTTTCTCTTGTGGAGAGTTGTCTCATTGGCAATCATGCCACATCTTCTTTTTTATATATACATGTATTCTGCTAACGGAAAGTAGATGAATGAGAATCTGAAAATGTTTCACCCAGTATGAATTAACAATATATAGCTTGGCATCTATCATCAAGAAGGTATAATTTGTTGTTGTAACTAATTCTTATCAAAATGTTCTTATGTCAGTATCAACGAGTACGCAACAAACAGGAAGTAAGTAAATGACAGATTTGAAAATGTGTCACAAAGTTTAGTGTGGATCTTAAAATGTAGCATATGATAAAGCTTACCAATTTAATCTTGTAACAAATATCAAGAAGCTCTGATATATCAAAATGCTATAGAAATGTGTTGACAGACAGAAGGAGAAGGTCAACCAGCATAATCCTTTCCTTTGGAGTGGGGTATCAACATTGTCTTTTAACTTCCCAACAACACATGATTACACATCTTATTGTTTTAGTACTATTGAATTTATATTTACAGTCAAACCTGCCATGGGCATTGTCTGAATCAGCATATTTTGGAACTTCTTTTTCAAGGTCACCTCTCTTGAGCAGTCACTTTTAATATTTCCCATGAGTGACTGCTAAATACAGGTATATTTCTTCCAGGAAAATTTGAATCAAACAAAAAACTGCTGCCATATGAAGAACAATTTGAGTCTGTGAGGGCATTTCTTGTCACATATGTTAAACAAACCTTAAATGTTGCTGTATCTTGTAGCAACTGTAGCATCTTGTATACATAAGTAGGTTCAAACATTGGTCCTGGTGGCAATTCTGGTGGTTGCTTTTTACCCTTGTCTGCAAATGAATATCAATTAATAAAAAATATTTATGAAGTTCTTCTCAACTGGACAATGTACATTAAACACAAAACTTGCTTCTTAAAGTCTCTCAACTGGTGAAAGTTAGTCTATTAAAGGGAAACTTTGCAAAAAAATAAAAAATTGATATTATGTCCATTCTGTATAAAAAAGCACAAATTCATAAATATTAAAGTTGTATTCTGCTAGATAAGAGATTACCATCGATTTTAAATTTAGAGTATCAATTCTCTGCGTGCGGCCATTTTGACATCTTCTTGGTTTAGAAACCCCGATATATCTATAAACCACAAAGGACCAAAACCAGCAGTAACCTAACGTAGTCGCATTTATCCGACTAACTATAACTTGATACGGAAAATGTAATTATTTTTTTAAATAACTATGGTCTGTCGTTTTAAAACTGTTTTTTCTTTACGAAGTTTTTGAAACAAGAAATTTATATGGGAATTAGTTAAAAGTCAAAGTTCAAAGTCATAAATAAGTGTTCCGTGTAAAATCGTTTTCGAAAATCTAATTTGTTCATAATTCTTTTATGTAATAAACTTATTTGAATAAATTCGGACCTTCTCTTATCTGATCACCAGCATGGCTAAAGGAATTATTCCCTGAGGTATTGTTAGGTGACACGTCAAGGTATTCAAGTGATTTCCTGTCAGGTTTAAAAACTCTTATTACACAATTACATAAAGCATGTTCATGCATCGCTTCACTTCTGAGGGTATTGATTAGTGTACACGGCCGATAACTTGTAACTTTCCATTTTAAAACTATCAGGTGTAATATACATCTTTGTCTTGCGTGTCCGATAGTGATATACTAGTCATTACTAAACTCATACGCTTGTTTATAAATAACATTTCTAGTGTAAAGAATGATATTTATGAAAATCTACATAATTCCAAAAAAAGATTTGATAAAATAAAAATCTATTTACATATTTTTCCAAGGGTAAATTGGGGAAAATGTAAGTATATACTCGTTGTCAATAATGATGGACATTTTGAAACATGAAAAACTATTGATTTAAAAAATACGCACTTGTCGATCATTGGTTTATACGCCTAGATAGAAAGTTACGGAACTATAGATAGTTGCAATTTAAAATTGTATATTGAATATAAGAAAGAACATCTAGAACCAATTTGATTTAAATACAGGTTGATATCTAACTTGCTTTGGTTCATCGAAGTTATGGACATAGTAAAATCACAGATTTATATTTCAATTAGATTGTTCTCGAACAGTTGAAGAAATTCGTCATCATCACAATTGTTGGGTTTAATGTATATTAATGTGAACATGGTTCTAATAGAACCTTATGCCAATTTTCCTGTTCCGACATGCATGTAATATATATGCCACTGGACGTACACTAATGATCCCCAAAAGTTTATTTGAAGAAATAAAGAAACTTCACTCCGGATAGACTGATAGTAGTTGTATTAACGTCTGATCAGCTTGAGGGTTGATTAATTTATAACGTTAGCTTGTGGGGGAATAAACCATTCCCACTATTGCACTTATGCATAAAATATTAAATAAGAGTAATATAAGAGAAAATATAAATACGAAAAGTCGCATATCTGGTAAAAAAAAAAGTCTCACCAACTATAGGATTTCACGTACAATTGTCATTATGATCGAAATAACGGACAGTCATTAAAATACATGCATGTACCCTTTGATAAAAAGGGGTGCCGCAGTTGCATATTATTCATCATAAATCTATTTCAAGTTTATACTTTCCTGTTATTCTTATCAGTTAACGCAGAGACATGTAACTATACATCTCTAGTTAACGACATCAACTATATAAATATCTGAATCTGATGTGACTTACAGTTCATCTCTAGTGGTTCATCTCTTTCTTTTTTTTTTTTTGGGCAGGAACATAAACATTGCTAGATATAATGTTCCCAGGTTTGAGGGGGGGGGGAGGTCAAGTCTATCGAAAGTTACAAAATAAGAACGTTGTATTTATGAATTTACAAGAAGAATTCTGTTCTTGGACCTTGTTTTCTCCTTTCTTTTTTTTTTAGTTCAGTGATTTAAATTGAGAAAAAATCTAGTCAGAATTTAAATCGTTCCGACAATCCCCCACCTAATACTCCTCTCAAATCATGAATGGTCATGCTTCACAATCATCAGAATTTACTTTGCATTGGTACATTCTGTATCGGTAGTGATTAACCTTGACATTTCCGGGTATAACAGAGCTACTTGTATATTACCTGTGTGTGGTTAGGTACATCGTCCCATGAGGTCTTACGTATACAGGTTCACATTTATAATGGTTTCTGATATAACAAGATTTTATGACATTCACACTTCTGCATGTTCTGTATACCAGTTTCTTATCTTATTTTCAGACCGAATGAGGATGTGAATATTTTCCAGGAAATATATTGAGTATCAAAGTATCAAATTAATTTCGGGATTTTTTTTCTTTCTTGGTATTAAATCACAGAAATTTAAAGATAATACTGCTTATAGATATAAGAAGATGTGGTATGAGTGCAAATGAGACAAATCTCCATCCAAGTCACAATTTATAATGTAAACCATTATAGGTCAAAGTACGGTCTTCAACACGGAGCCTTGGCTCACACCGAACAGCAATTAAGCTATAAAGGGCCCCAACAAATTACTAGTGTAAAACCAGGAGTATTCTTGTCAGTTAAGACAGACATATAATTATATGTATATATATGTCTGCGGTATAGACATGGTTTATGAATGAATGATGTCTTACAAAGGTACAAGATATAAAGCACATTGAACATTGATTCCGCCGGTCTGTCTCTATTCAATAAAGGCAAGTTGACGTTAGATTGATTCTGTAAAAAAATTTTAAACATCGTTGGTCAAATAGCTAAAGTATTTGTTGTGAGATGTAGAATATTTTAATAAGGACATTCCCGATTAGGTAAATGAAGATCGCTTTGGACGGACCAAACTATATTAATGTAACTGATAATTTTCTCTGCACATTTAAATATTCAAGGTTACCGATGATAATTCAAAATAGCACAGTTTTTGGTTTATACGCTCGTTTTCGTGGGCCATTTTTATTTATAAAATTATTTCATTGAAAGTTATTCAGAATTCCGATGTTACAACAAAGTACTCACCCATCTATTTAAAAACTGAGCTAACGCAAAATATAAAAAATATATATAACGGCGATTCAGGTATTTTGCCACCATATTCCTCCCCAAATAATTATTTTTTTCTGTCTCAAACCCACATTTCTCTTTTATCATTTTTTTTTATGTTTTTCAAACCGGAAAATAATTTTTGTTCTTAATTATTCGATCTCATTCCAATAAGACAAAGTTGACCTTAAATTTCCTGTCAACTTTTTAATTATCTTTCTTCAAATGGCTGAAGTATTTATACGTTGTGAGATTTGAAATATTTTGATAAGGACATTAATTCCTGAATATGTAAACAAAGATCGCTTTGGACGGACCAAATTATATAATTGCAATTGGTAATTATCTATTTCAAATATTCAAGGTTACCGATTCTAATTTAAAATAGTACAATTTTTAGTTCATACACTCGTGTTTAGAATGCCATTATTATTTATTCAATTAAATTAATTCAGTATTTCATTGTTACAAAAATATTCAGCAGTCATAATTCATTTTAAACTGAGCTTACGGAAAATATAAAAATATACCACGGCTATCCAGTTATTGTGCCACCATATTACTCCCTCAAAATAATTATATTTCTTTTTTTATTTTCTGTCTCAAACTATCACTCCCGTTTATCATTCATACGAAATGATGTTCACACCTGGAACGGTGAACCGTGACGGCTAAAATTCACTGAGTGAAGATCAAAAGATTAGAATTACAGAATGCAAACCTTTAAATACCTTGACTTAACCACGCATTCAACAGGTAGTCAGTAAGTGTCACAGTACAATACACATTGTATTTACACGGTACTAACGGAAAATGTTTGCTAGACTGAAGTAAAAGGTGAGAATACAAACATGCATTTTTAATACACTATCAGTTAAATATGTTTGTTGAAAATATCCGTCGGAAAAAAAATTCATAAAAATATTCTATTGTATGATTTACTTTTATTACTATAATGACTATAATCATATCAGAAATCCTTAAAATTTAAATCGTACATTTTATTTTTAAAAGTTGCACGGCTGATCACTTTACTTTCTTAATTATTAGTTGGTTAATAGCTACGCCAAAAGTCGTCGATGCGCTTTAAATCGCGTTATTAGATGATTAACGAACAAGACTTAAATGAGATTAATTCCACTCCCGGCATGCAAAAAGACTTAAACTACGTCACAGAAGTCAGGAAGTTCGAATAAATAAAATTAATAATTCCCAATTTTCTTCTTTATTAGTTTTCATATCCAGATAAAACTTGGTGAATATGTTTTTTATGGTATTATGAACATAATAAGATGATAAGTAAAAAATCGCGAATTTTCCCTTTAACCTTGTTTTACAGATATGTAATGCAGTTATGAATTAATTGTAGAATTTGTATGCTCTTAGTATATCAAAGCAAGCAACTCTGCAAATTGGGAGCAAAATGTGTGATTTCTTTAATTGTTCTCTCCAAGATTTGAGATGAACCTTTTAATAACTTGGCTGATGGGACAAATGTAAACAAAATTTCATTTGTCAGAACCAAGGAGTAAACAGTTGTATATCAATTCAATTTTCACCTATATAAATGTTTTAAAGAATAGAATACAATACGGTAGATTCATTATTATTTGAGGGAAAACAATTTTGAGTATTTTGTGTGTATACATGAAGCACAAATTAAAATCTTGGACTTCAACAAAGTACACTTTTTTTGTAGGCTTATTTATATGCAAACTTTCACAAAACCATGAAATCAAATATCCAGGATTTTTTTTTTTTCTCAATCCATGAAAATTTATAACCATGAAAAATAAATGAATCCTAAGTACTCAAATACAATTAATTTCAAAAATATCAAATTATTTATTGTAATTCTGAATATTTGCCTGTTCTGTTATCGATGAACATGTATTTTGAATCTCTTCTATTGTTAGAGACTCTTATGTTCCCCTCAAGATGTCTTTTGAATATAGAAGTTTATAAATACATCAAAAGGTATATATGTCTTTTTCCCATCCATGTTTGTGAAAGAAAGGTTGAACTCATTGATTGAAGAATTATTCAATAGATGTAAATATTGTATGTGTATGTAAATGTATATAAATATTCATAAATTTGATTTCTTAAATCATAAAATGTATTTACTCCGTTTTTCATTTTTTATATTATATAAGGAACAAGAGATTAAAAGGAACATACATGTATCAATAAAGCATAATTATGTCTTATATATTCTTGACTAGCCAAGAATGTCTATAACTAAAAAATATTACATTTGTTGTCTGTTGCTCTTGCACAAGGTGTAAACTCTCCAACAAACTGTATCCTAAAAATTTGAAAAGATTTTTTATAATTACATATAGATATGTATTTTCCCTTTTAGACATAAAAAACTACCAAATATGGCATTAAAAAAAACCCACTTATACAGAAATTCAGTAGAATGCAAAGAAAAAACAAAGGAAAATAAGAATATGTGGCCATAGGACACAATAAACACTGAAATCACGGTCAAAACAATAATTTGGCATGTAATGTTCGTAAAAATAACGAACATTTTTACTATAAAGTTTCAAGTTAAAGTGACTATAACTTCATGGTAAACCACATTGACATAAAGCTTAAACCTGATACAGGACAAACAGACTGACGGAATATCATACAGACGCAGTGATCCGAATTAACACCAATATTTTCCCATATCAAAATTTTGTGCTTGGCTGTAACAGTAATAAAACTGATATCAGAGACAAATGCAGGTTAATTACTTTGTCTGCAATCAAACACAAGCCACTTATCACCTCAGTCCTGTAAAGGTGTATTTATCATATTTATTTATGGCTTCCATTTCATTTGGTCATTTATACACAAAATGTCACGGATATACCTTAATTGTTAACAAATTATCAAATTATTGACCAAAACATGCACCTGTCCATCCTGTGGTCATCTAGGGACAATTTAAAATAATGACAATAAACACTAATAAAACAGTGATTAGAATAAATCTTCCTGATATTCATTTACATTTCAAAACAAACTTAACAGTTCTGCAGTTTCTTCAAAGCTACAATACTGAAAGATGAAAAATTTTCTTTTCTAATCTTGCTCTTGTTTTTAAATCATGTAGCTTCTGTCTTATTTTTATAAAATTCCATGACGGTTTGACAAAGTTATTTATGTCTAAAATACTGTATAAAGTTTAGACTGTATCAACGGTATCTAAACATAAACTGCAGTTTCATAAAAACTCAGGAATTTTTTTGCCGTTCTATCATATATTTTTTCTCGTAATGAAAATATAAACTTACATGCTATCCAGAATTGGGGTGGAAGTCGGTCCTCTCCGAATTGGTGGGAAAGTTGGGATTTTCTTCATTAGATTGTAGAATGGTGGACAAGATATTAAGGCCTGTAAAGTCTATTGTCAATTAAGGAAATGATAAAAACCTATGTGAGATGTTCAGATTGGTATATAATTTTAAATCATCACCCTTAAGCTTTAATATATATGGAATATTTCTATGTTGATCGATGTTTTTTCCTTCAACTTTCAGTAGTTACATTTAAACAAAACATTATTTTGCTTGTTTTTTATGTTGCTCGGTCACAACTCTTTTGCTTCAATAAACAATTATTTTTCTTACCATGAAGTAAATGTTCTGTAATATTTTAACTTTTTCAATGTGTTCCTGCTCTTACCCATGCGATATTGCAATATCTGTAGTTAATATATGCTACACATCTGATCTTATTTTGTGAGTTCAAATCCCACATGTGGCAGGTGCGCTCAACTCCAATCTTAATTGACTAGGACTGTTAGTTTTCCTACCAAAGGTCAGTGGTTCTCTCCGGCTTCAATAACTAGAGGCTCTCAAGAGCCTGTGTTGCTCACCTGTATTTACTGATGCTTTGGAAATCATGTAAAATAAGGTTAAAATCATAATTAATAGTATTAGATATAAGTTATTATAATAATATCTAAGATAATAACAAAAAAATGCAAAATTTTTGTAAAATTACTAACTCAGGGGCAGCAACCCAACAACGGGTTGTCGGATTCGTCTGAAAATTTCAGGGCAGATAAATCTAAATCTGATGGATATGTTTGCCACCTGTCAGATTTGCTCTAAATGCTTTAGTTTCAGAGATATAAACCAATAAAATGCTCCGCAGGGCGCAGCTTGATACGACCGCAGAGGTCGAACCCTGAACAGTTGGGGCAAGTATGGACACAACATTCAAGCTTGATACAGCTCTGAATTTGGATTGTGATTAAATATTTGACACAGCATAGGTTTCTGACACGGAATGTGGTCTAAGAACTTAAAAATTTTAAATTGGACATTCACCTATTATGGTCCAATATCCAAAATCTAAATACATGGTTAGATTCAGCATATCAAAGAACCCCAAGAATTCAATTTTTGATGAAATCAAACAAAGTTTAATTTTGGACCCTTTTGACCTCAATGTGGAAAAAGTTTATAATGGGGCCCATAAATCAAAAATCTAAATACATGGTTAGATTCAGCATATCAAAGAACCCCATATATTCAATTTTTGTTGAAATCAAACAAAGTTTAATTTTGGACCCTTTGGACCTTAATGTAGACCAATTTGAAAACCGAACCAAAAATTAAGAATCTAAATACACGGTTAGATTCGGCATATCAAAGAACCCCAATAATTCAATTTTTGATGAAATCAAACAAAGTTAAATTTTGGACCCTTTGGACCTCAATGTGGACCAATTTGAAAACCGAACCAAAAATTAAGATTCTAAATACACGGTTAGATTCGGCATATTAAAGAACCCCAATAATTCAATTTTTGATGAAATCAAACAAAGTTAAATTTTGGACCCTTTGGACCTCAATGTGGACCAATTTAAAAACGGGGCCCAAAATCCAAAAACTTAAAACACGGTTAGATTCAGCATATTAAAGAACCCCAAGAATTCAAGAATAAAACCCCATTGAAATTGATCAAGAAATAAGCAATTTATACGAAGTATCTTCTTTTGCACAATACTGTGCAATTCAATATTTCTTGCTATTGCGCAATACTGTACAATTGACAATTTCTTGCTATTGCACAATAATGTGCTATTGGATATTTCTTGCTATTGCGCAATACTGTGCAATTGAAGATTTCTTGCTATTGCGCAATACTGTGCAATTGAAGATTTCTTGCTATTGTGCAATACTGTGCAATTGAAAATTTCTTGCTATTGCACAATACTTATTATATAATAATTTACACATCCTGTTTGGTGTGTATCTCCTACCATATCATTATTATTTGCTTTTAAATATAAATCAGAAATAACCAACTTAAAATGGAAAATTTTAAAAGAAAAAAAAAAGGAAAAAAAGAAAAAAAAAAAAAATCCCCCCCAAATTTTTTGAACCCCCTTATGATTCATCACCCCTAAACTCAATCCAAGCCTTCCCTTTGTGGTATGGTACCTTGCAGTACAATTTCAGAGAGATCCATACACTTGAACACAAGTTATTGTCTGGAAACTAGAAAAATGCTTGTTTTTTGCCCCTTTTTTGGCCCCTAATTCCTAAAATTTTGAGGCAATTACCCCCAAAATCAATTACAGCCTTCCCTTTGTGATATGGAACCTTGTGGTACAATGTCAGAGAGATCCATACACTTACACACAAGTTATTGTCTGGAAGTTACAAAAATGCTTATTTTTGGCCCCTTTTTGGCCCCTAATTCCTTAACTGTTGGTACCATAACCCCCAAAATCAATCCCAACCTTCCTTTCGTGGTATTGAACCTTATGGTAAAATTTCATGGAGATCCATTCACTTAAACTAAAGTTAGAGTGCGAAAACCAATGTGTCTTCGGACAATGACGACGACGACGACGCCAACGTCATACCAATATACGACCAAAATTTTTTTAATTTTTGCAGTCGTATAAAAACTGCATTTTACCCCTATGTTCTATTTTTAACCAAGTTGGCCATGATGGTTGGAAGGCGGGGTCATCGGACAAATTTTTTAAACTAGATACCCTAATAATGATTATGGCCAAGTATGGTTAAATTTGTCTCAGTAGTTTCAGAGAAGAAGATTTTTGTAAAAGATTACAAAAATTAACGAAAAATTGTTAAAAATTGACTATTAAGGGCAATAACTCCTAAAGGGGTCGACTGACAATTTTGGTCATAACAAATTAAATTATGTTTATATTAGGTCATATGAAGATTGCCTGCTTTGGAGGTCATCTTGGTGGTTATTTAGATGACATCTTGTCCTAAAATAGGCATACAAAAATAATACTTTATTATGACTTCCACATTGTTTATTGTTTCCTATGGAGCTTTTTTAATTCTGGTAAATATCATTGTATGTTATAAATTAAATTTAAGAGTTTGTGTCAATTTCGGTGGTAATGAATTTGGCAGCTAATTCTCTTTATATATCATATGAATGTACACAACAGTAAAATATTCGAAAAGGATACAGCATTAATGTAGCACCAATTGCCTCTATTCATCAATCCTCGTGGCTGAAGACCAACTTGAGTGTGCATTATTTTATTCTGGCAGAAGAATTCTACAAAAACAAAGAAACTTTACTACCAACATCGTATACTTAAATGAACTTTCCTTTTTTAATTTAGACAATTAAACTGTTTTAGTGTAATGACTTTGTGTGCATAAAAAAGAAGAAAACAAGGAGTTATTTGAAACCTATCATTGTCTTTTGAAATTGACCATAGATGTATTGCCATAGTTAATCACCATCCATACAATGTATATTTTTTGTAAGTTTTGATGTATGCACTCTTTCATAATATCAATGTTACTTTTGTAAGATATTCCAATCACTTGTATTTCCATATTTTAACTGATTAATTAAAAAAAAAAAAACAAATATGTCCTAGCAACCTGCCAAATTTACTTGCTCATTTCATTGACATGGTTGTATCTATTTCATGTATATTAACTAACTGTGAATCATAACTCTACATTATATACAATTTAATTCCTGTTTTATGGAATTATACAAGCAACTTCACACTTATATCATACAGACTGTTCATAACTAAATGTGCAATGGAGTTCGGACACTTTTTTGAAAACCCAAATATATTGTGTACCCATAAAATAGAACTTTATAAATTCTTTATTATTTTGGGAAATATTATAAGTCCCCTCTCATTTTGGCAAAGACCTTAAGTAAATCTAAGGTTTATCTCACCTAAATTTGTATTCATGTTTGGACAAAACTTTTTATACCCCACCACCCATAATTCTTATTTTCATTTGCACCAGAATTGATTTTGCTTCCACACCTATTACCCATTAAAAAATATGCATTCCAACCATTCCATACAGTTTTTCCTAACACCCAATCAAACAATCCTACCAGAGAAGCATACATTTTAGGGGAAATAACTCAGCTACATGTATCAAAGGTGGTGTATATTTGTGTCTTGTAGCTTTAAAAATATGTGGAAACATGTTTCATCTTAGATTAAATAAGTATTATTCAGACAAGTGCATTCGCAAAAACATATATCATTTGCTACCATACATAATCTGATTACATCACTGTAAAAAAAATCTTTAAAAGATATTATGGGATGTATGTACAATGTACTACTGATGACCTGACATATTTTTAAAGATTATTACAAATCTTCACTTTAATTACAATACTGCATTTTGAATATTCTCAAATAAAACTTTAAATAAATGTTTTATTATATTTTTTCATTTAAAGAGTTAGGGTTAGGGTTATAAAAAATGTCAAAACTTCTTCCTCTAGCAAGTCAGGCAACTTATTCTAATATTTATTGTACTTTTTTTCATTTTCTTTTTCCTTTTTTAATCTCTTACACCTTAGGACAGGGAAATCTTTTAAATCATTGTATAACATATGTTTTACTGGTATTCATAAATTAAATTGTTAACAGCAGATATATAATTATTAAGGGCTGTTGCATAAAAACCTACTTGGGAACCAGGGAAGGCACTATGAAATTTCAACTATGGGTGGGTGTCATTGCCCATAGGTGATAATTCCATTTTAAAAGTGCCTTTCCTGGGTACCATGCAAGTTTTAATGGAACTGCCCTAAACATAAATATGTATAGATATCAATATATGTATATAAATAATTTATATAATTTTTTTAAAAACCTCTCAAATTTTTTGTAAACAATATTGTTACCTCCAAGAATGTCTGCTGCAGAATCATGAATGGCTGGAACAGGAGACAAATTGACTACTTGTTTTTCTTTGGTATCCTTCTCCTGGTCAAGTGATGGATAATTAACATCTACATAGTTTTCATTGTATATCACAGATGCTGCTGTTGAAGGAGATTCTCCTTTAAATAAGTTTGCCCATGATTTGGGTTTTGCTCCCCAAACTGAGCCAGACTGTTCTCCTGAGGAATTCTCTTGTTTTGCAGAAGAATTATCCTCAACATTTGACATTTCGGAGCTCTTTTCACCATTTTCTTGTCTATTAACTGGAGCACCTATTGGAATATTGTTTGATGCTGGTTGTAAAGGGGGATAACTGGCAAAGTCCACTAAATTTTCACTTTCAGTTTCCACATCTTCAGAAATATTTGTTTGATTTACACCTGAATTAACCACATCCTGCGTTACAATTTCCTGTGAAGCCTGTGATGAATCTTCATATCCTGAAGAAATGCTGCTTTTTGGTGGCTTATTGACTGATGTAAAAGACAAGTCTATGTGTTCTGATGAGGTGGGGTTTGTATTATGACTAACAGTCTGTGTATCTTGTGAAGAATCTGGTAACCACTGTTTCTGTGTATAAACAGATGTTTGAGGGGGATGACAAGATGTTTGTGAAGGATATATGGGTGTCTGTGAAGTGTGAAACATTGATGGGTGTGAAAAATTTTCATGTGTGGTGTGGACCATGTGTGAATGTGCAAGACTATCATCATTAGACAAAGTCACACGAGAAATGTCATCAGTTACCAATTCCACACCTTCAGTAATTTTTGTTTGGAAATTGTTCTGAACTGGTGGAACACTTGCATAATTTTGAGCATAATCTGTGTGATTTTTCTGTATATATTGTGTTGGTAAGGTGTCTCTATCACTTTGACTAGTATATGAAGTCTCTTCAAAGTTAACTGCATTACGAGTTATATTTTCTGTGTACACATTAGTTTCCAGCTTTCTAATTCTCTCTTTTTCAATTTCCTCTTGAAGTTTTTCATAATATCCTGGTGGCCTTCTTTTTTTATTTCTTCTCTCATAAGGCTTTGATGATGATGAACTGTTGTTTCCATCTGCGTCCATTTGACTTTGTTCAAGAGTATACTCTGTATAGCTATCATTGCCAAAAGTAAAATTGTTGTGCAAACTACTGGCATCCTGCGGGTTAAAGTATGTTTCACCAGAAAAATTAATTTTGTCTCGCATATCTTGCTGCTGATTTATCTTGCCTTCATCTGTAACTATGGAAAAAAAAACCAGCTATAAATCAGTGCTCTGAGCAAAGCTTAAATGCTCTTTATACTCTTGGACTATAAATTCTACCCCAATGTAACTGCAGTCAAAATTTTTGTCATTGCTATATATTTCTTTATTGATCCAACAGAATGTTGAGAAATTGAAAATATAATAAATGGGGAACATGTCCATGGGACACAGATGCAGATGATGCCCCCGCTTGCATATCATATAAAGTTGACATAACTGAACAATGGTAAAAGTGACACAACCCAAATTTGTACTTGATATGAGTTTTATAGTAATAAGTATTGTGTATAAGTTCCATAACATTTGGTTCAGGCCAACTTAAGTTAGAGAACGCAAACGAAAAATTCAGCAATTTTTCCATTTGTAAAGGGGCATAACTCTAGAACAGTAAAAGTGACGCCACCAAAATTCAAACTTGATCTGTATTTTGTGGTAATAAGCATTGTGTATAAGTTTCATAACATTTGGTTGAAGTAAACTTAAGTTGGAGAACGAAAACGAAACCAATTTTTCCATTTGCAAACGGGTATAACTCTGGAACGGTTAAAGTGACACCACCAAAATTCAAACTTGATCTGTATTTTGTGGTAATAAGCATTGTGTATAAGTTTCATAACATTTGGTTGAGGCAAACTAAATTTAGAGAACGGAAACAAAAAATTCAGCAATTTTTCCATTTGTAAAGGGCCATAACTCTAGAACGGTTAAAGTGATGCCACCAAAATTCAACCTTGATCTGTGTTTTGTGGTTATAAGCATTGTGTATAAGTTTCTTAACATTTGGTTGAGGCAAACTAAAGTTAGAGAACGGAAACAACTTTGGGACGTACGGACGTACAGGGGTAAAACTTAATGCCCCCTCCGCTATGGCGGGGGCATAAAAAATTTGGGTACGAAAAATCTGATGGATATTATATAATATAGGGTAATAAAACTGATATCTGGCTAAAAATAAAATTACCTAATTCTTTGTTTAAAAAGATATATATGTATTTGAATCACCTTTTACAGCTAAACAAGAGTCATTATTTACCATTCTCTCCCCTCTATTGATGCATTTAAACAGAATAAGATTGGCTTCAAGGAGGAGAAATAAGTTCACTTGAAATTGAAAATCAAAAAGTATTATATTTATATTTATCAAAAAACATCCTTCACTTGTTCATAAGACATTTGTCTGACAGATATCAGTATTCATAGTTTTGAATTTAGTCTCACATACATGTATCTGCATTTAGGCTTCAAATTTCTCAAATTTAGTGCAGAACTGAAAATTTGTTGTAATAGTCTCATTTGGAGACCTTGTCCTTAATATTTGAATATGTGCTTTACAGTTTTACCCCAAAAAATATGTTTCTACAAATGTATTTTATAACCATGTCGATGTGAGAAATAGATTTGTGTAAAGCCTTTGCTCATGACTATTTTGTATAAAAACTTTGTGTAAAACTGCCATTTGTTGGTCAAATATGTCAATTTCAACATATTTAGATGTCATACATTTAACCTTTCTGCACTGAAATGCCCAGATTATATTAACCTGTAAATTTATAAACAATGTTAACATAATTTTGAAAGTCTTGCAATTTCAGGACTATCTAGTGTTTCCTGCAGGATGTTTTGGCTTGGTATGGCGCCCTGTCGTGTTTTCATGATGCCCTGCCCTTTTTAGGAAAAAAATTTGGTGCCATGCCCCTTTTTCGTTGTATTTTAGAACGCCGCCGTAATTCCATATCGGTTCTGCAATTCATCTTTCAGGAAGACCATTTTGAGTTATTTCCCTTAGAACGAAAATCAAAATTTTAACGGCCGACATTTTATTGAATTTCGTAATGTTTGTACAGTTTTGATGCGACAGAGTACAAATACAATAAATGATTGAATCTAATAGGGACAACATCGATTTGTTCCTCTACGAATTTAAAATGTAGACATTTTAAAAGAGAACCAGGCGATCGTTTGAGTTATAATTTTAGGATGAATGTGATGAACATTACCAGTTTGTTTATATTTTCTATTTATACTATTCGGTCGGTCAAGACGTCGGATTGGGTGTGAATTTACGACAGCTTTCATACTTTTGTTATCTTAATAAAATTAAAGTTAAGAATATAGCTGATATACATGTGTAGTTTTGAATAATATAAAAAATCAACGACGTTTCAATAAAAAAAAATTCTTTGGTAAAATCATTTCTTTGTACCCTCATCTATTCACCTATTTCCTCAACATTTTGGCTGATGACACTTACATGACTTACCAGATTGGTTATAAAATTGAAAATTTTATTACTCAAAAACTACTTATTGTAATTACACAATTTTTTCACAGCATTTAGTTTGATTATAATATTTTTTATATTCATTGGTATTTTTTCCACTTGTATCACGTTTTGGAAATAATTTCTGAACAAGATTTCAACAAGACTGAAACCTCAGAAGAATACATCCTTAAGTTAACCTAATACATATCTTTATTTCTTACCAATAAATATGAAACAATAGTATATTCCATTAAATCCCTATTTATTACTGTGCCTTTACATCTATGTAAAGAGTGCCCTAAACTTGTAGTCCTCTGAAAATGCAACCAATCCCACTAAGAGTGCCCCGAGAAAAAAATACCCTGCCCTTTTCAAAAGCTGTAGGAAACACTAGGGCTATCATACCTCCTACTTTCATTCAAGGCTGTTCCTTACATAATTTCTTTGGTGGTTGATTGAACAATCCAGAAAATTTCCAATGGAACAAATATATAATGGTATTGATTAGTAGAAAACAGCATTCAAAGATCCCTAAAAGACATATTTTCCTCAATAGCCCTCATATTGTTTTAATTTTTTTTAAAACTTTTTGCACTCACCTTCAGAACCACTATAGCTGCAATTTTCTTTGGAATCCCATGGAAACTGAAAAAAAAAAACAGTTTGCAAAGAATAATTATCATAACCACAGTTTTCTAAGATAATCGATTTACATCGTACTAAACAAACGCACAGCTTTTTAGCCAATCTAAAATATCAACTTTTTAGATGACAAAAATAAAAATATGAGAGGGGAATTTGAGATTTAATTTTTTTTTATCAGGACTTAAAGTCCCAATATCTTTTTAATTTTTAATAATTCATATTTCTTTTATCAAATAATGAAAAGCTATGTCTTGGGTGATCGTTGCTGGTACATTGTTACAGTAAAAACCATTCAGACCCTTACAAAAAGACAATCAAAAACTTCTCATTTACTTGACCAAACAGTATAAATCTGTCCAGAATCAGATTATTTAAGTCCTCTCAAGGTGACATGTTAACAATACCAAAGTAATAGAAAAAAAACTGATCAATACTGCTGTTATTTTCCAAGAGTTCCTTCTAATAGATAGTTTTGTATGGACACAATTTGAGCAAAACTTGTATCTCTTTTATCGCCATGTTGTAGGTCTACATGCAAACTTGCTTTACAGTATACTGGCTGCTAGATTTTAGAAAAAGTTGTTTTCAGATTAATTCTAATATTTTTTTGCCATCCTTCATTCATCACTATATATATAGCTACAATCTAGTAGTAATCTATCAGACTTGTTTGTACCACAATTCAATATGGTTAGAAAATACACCATTTACACCTTCTAAATGGCGGCCAAGGGAAATAATTCAAACTACATGTATGTTATATTGCTTAAATTCAAATTACATCACATCGAACCCTATCTATTATGGTTAATTCTGTGTTTCAAATTTTTATGTGTCTCACCCATTATAACATGTATATGTACACTGAACTTATCACTTTTTATAACAAATAATTTAAACTTTATATAATTATATTCTCTACCCATCTCCACCAGGATAAAATGAGGTCTGTTTAATAAAGATATAAACTTTAACAATGTATATTAACAGAATTAACATGTTTTCTTACCTCTACCCTACCACCTTCTGTCTGACGAGGACCATATAATATTTGGTAGACTTCATCTTCCTGTGTTAGAATATCAAAGTCTCCAAATGTTATCTCCTGTAAATACATTTTTCATCATTTAAAGCTCTCTTTGTAGAAGAATTGGCTGATTAGGAAAAGAGATGGACATCCACTTCTTTAAATAAACCAAAAGGAAAATAAAGGGTGGAGAAAAATCAAATAAATGAAGACTGTGATACATTCATGATTTGTTTACTGCTACTCAATGATTGAGTGAAACCTCAGAATTTACTATTTTTCCACATTGTCCTGATTATAAAGTGGCATGTTTGCATAAGAGAGAAATTTTAAATAAAACTAAATTCAAAGCTGGCCTGTATTGTTTCCTTAAAATTTCAAACCATGTTGATTAGTCACTTTAATGGAAACTTTAATTTTCCATATTTCAAAGAGTATAATTCTGGATCAAGGCAATCAATGGATATGATGGAAGATCAGGCAAAACAATTTATATTTCCTGCCTCCTTAATTACCCTATTTAAATTTTCAAGAGATCTTTTGAAGACCTCTCCCTCTTTCCAGCTAACTAAGGGTAGAAATTATAGGTGATGAGTTATTTCTTTTCATAATTTTGTCTTCTGATTCAAAATATTTAAATATTTCAGCTTAATTCAGCACACCTAGATAAAATGTAACCAGTTTGGTTATATATACATGGATTTAATTTTTTAATCAACATACTTGATGACCAGGGGTGTTTTTTTGATATACAAATATGCACAGTATTTTTAATACAATTAAGTAAAAAATAAATTCCAGAAAATACAATTAAAACAAATCAAACATGTCAAATGAGGGGAAGATTACCATTTTTTTAGGGAAAAAGATGAAGTCTCCTTCCTAGAACTGGTGTAGAGACAGGTATCTGATGTAAAATGCATATTTTTATTAAGTTAAAATGACTTACAAAAAAAACCCACCATAATCATGATAATATAGCATTTATCATGATTACTACAACTAGGGTGTTTTGGTTCTGTACATTAAAAATTTCACAATATTCTTAGATTTCGACAATTTGAGGTACCTTAAAGTTTTCCGTCTTATTACAGCAATACCTAAATGAAACTGAAAGTACAGGGCCCCTACAATAAAAGAAGGCCCATAACTTTGGAACAATGAAAGTCCGGTTCTCGTATTCAACACTTGTTTTTTCTTTGAATTTTGACATCTATTATGGTTTGTGAATAATTTTGTTTCAATCTTTTATGTTCTAATATGTCTGTTTACTTGTTGTCACAGTCTCCGAATGTAGGTTTAACAGACAACCGTGGCAGTTTAATGATCCATAACTTCATAAGATTTTTGCAATCATGCGTTTGATGTTTCAGACACCAATATGGCTAAGGGCAAACATGGTGTGTGACAATCTAGGGATTGTGTATCTACATAATAAAAGGTATCGCCTGTATTTACATTCGACAGAAATTCCATATCTATTGCTGTTATAAATGCAAATCAACTGAAAACGTGCTTGACAGCCGCCATCGTCTTTACCGGATATTGTGGGAAATGCGGAAGTGCAATGTAATTCTATTTACATGCGCAGAACTGAGGTGCGTTTGTTAAATCAAATTTGCTTATTGTACGGTAGATCAGGGTGTCTTTTTAAAAAATTTGTTTGAAAGAGTTTTTTTTTTCGAGGTAATAGCTTTGAAAACTTATCAGATTTTGTATAGAACAATTTTGAGTGATAGAAAGAAAACTAAACGATAGAATTTTAAGATAAAATATGATAAGACAATTTTTATTTACTTATATAAGTGCTTTCAGAAAAAAAAAATAATTGGACCACTGGACTCGTTTTCTTGCTTCAAAACAATATGATGGATTCTCTACACGTAACTTTACAAAAGCTAGGTTATTTGAGTAATCTCCCCTTATATGTCTCAAAGCTGGAAAAAATAAATCATATATGATAAACGTGTTAATTCTGAATTTAAAAAAAAACGTCATTAAAATAATATAAAACGCATTATTTTCTTCATTTAGATGAAAAGTCTTACAAATGTATAACATTCCTTTCTCGAAATGTGTATATTTTATAAAATATCTAGACCGATTGTGTTCTGCTATCTTATAAGCCAAGTTAGCGGAAGACATCCGATCTATCTTTTATACGAATATTTGGTTCGTGTAGAACGCAGTAAATGTTGAAAATTTCTTGACCACAATAGACATCAGTCGTAAATTGTAACATCTGGGATTAATGTATAATTATCTACACTATCAAAATAAAGAGATGTGCCGGTATGATTCCACTGAATGAGACAACTTTCCACCAGAGTTCAAATGACGAAGATAATTATAGGTCACCGTACGGCCTTCATCAATGAGAAAAGCCCGTATAGTCAGCTATAAAATGCCTCGACAAAAAATGTGAAACAATTCAAACGAGAAAACTAAAGACTAAATTTATACAATATGATTTACGAAATACAAATATGAAAGACATGAACCAACGACAACCACTAAATTACAGACTCGTGACTTTGAACAAGTACTTAAAGAATGTTGCGGTGGTAATCATGTTTGTGAGCGCCCAACCCTCCCCTAACCTGGTACGGCAGTGGTGTTACAGCACAACATAAGAACAAACTTTAAAAGTCAGTTGCAAAAGGCTTAACTCAATAGATCGGTACGAAGCACATAGAACAAACCAACTAATACAAAAAGCAATAGACACCGATACAAGAGTACTCGCAGTTACTGAAAACTAGTACAGAAACAAGTACAATTACAACTAATAAATAAATCAGGTTTTCCCAAACTAAAGTATCAATCAGTACACATCTTACAGATTTAGCTTAAAAACGCCATACCAAACCAGTAGCACAGACTTAGTTGCTTTCAAGTCTGGAGCACAATCCATTATGTATTGCTTAAACAAATATGTGATGTTGTTTTTTTTTATCTATATACAAAAACATTATTTATAATTTTATTCCAGATATGTTTAGATTTTACTATTTTCCTAGCATATGTCTTCTTATGATTTTCAACATTTTAAAGTAAGGAATATCATGTAGATGTAGAAAGAGGGATATATACTGATCTAAAAAAATTGATAAGAATGCTTAAAATATACGTAGAATTGTAAAACACCTCTTAGTTCGTTATAATGAATATGAGGCGGGTGCTACCTGATGAGCTCCCAGGGAAAATAAAAATTTGTATAACTTCTGCACTTTAAAACTATAGAAATTTTGTTTTGTTTTTTGTTTTGCATTTCACTTTCAAAAGTATGCCCGTCCCCACTTTTCAGTCCACTCTTAAACCACTGGTTTTATTTTATCACCGTAAGATTAAAGGGTCTGGAAGGGGGTCTACATTTCTGCATTCTTTAATTTTTCAGATATTTTTTCTCAATTTAAAATTTGTTTGCCCATTATTCTGTTTTTCATTTTTATATTAACTACTAACATATTTCTAACACACGTTCATATAAAGTTATCATTACCTAGCTTGATATGTTTTGATTGATTGATTGTTCACGGTTTATAAAACGTCCGGTGACAATTTTTCCTGCATTTTCAGAAGAGCAAATTAACAACAAGTCTAAAAGATAGCCTTTGCAAAGCTTGTCGACTGGAAAAAAGATTACATGTCGATAGGGACAGACATTTTGTTGTGCAACAGGTCACGTACGTACCTCAGAAAGAGTTAATATAAGTCGGATCTATAACATACAGATAGCGTGGTATTCCCCATTACAAACATTTCCATTCCAAAGTCATAAATATTTGTATTTCTATCTGCATGATTTTGTTGTGAAACACAATTCTATTAGATGGCAAAATAGACAAAAAAAATAGACAAAACTAATAAAAATGTAATACATGTACACATCTATTTCATTTATGCTTTATTTCTTTCCCAATTTTCTTCCCAAGAGAACAAAGGGCTAAAAACATCTGCATTAGTCTATCAACTAATTTGAACTTATGACAGCTTGTTCAATATCTTGTTGCAATTCTAACTATTTTCATATCCAGCAAATGATAGAACTTAATTTTAGATACTAACATAACATTTACCTCTCCGAGGACTGACTTGCTTTGTTTTGTTAAGAAGTGTAGTTTTTAAACGGTTATTTAATATGACCAATTTTGTTTTTATGCTATTAAACGTTTTATGTTTCTGGCATTCAAAAATTTTGGTCTCGAGCGTACCTGACGAAGATTTATTAAAAAGAAGCTACTATAGATGCTGTCCTATCAATGAATAATCATAAATATGGCGACTATATGTTGATCGTATCCATCAAACTTGAAGTAAAGAATAGTGACAGATACAGTTAACTCGGTTTCATATCTCGACTTACATATAGAAACTGACAATTGGGGTCTATTTTGATAAACTTATCAATGTTATTGCAACTCCACAGTGCATCCCATGTACCGTATAAACTGTCACATTTATCACGACGAAGATCATCAAACTGATTAAGTACACTGTATTGACCAAGCGATACAAAGCTGAATTTTCATATCATAATTTCATTGATGGAGGGTTGCTGCTGACAAGGAAAGTATTTGATCCCAGAGTTCGAAATCGTAAAATTGAAGCCATCACTTCACAGGCGCAATCATTAGTTGGTTGAACGTTCCACAGCTGACCAGATATGTTCTATTTGTCGAAATCACAATCCCGCCCTTTTTTTTTTAGGTTGAAATAACACCAAATGCGACTTATAGATCATCAATTTTTTGCTTGTCTTTAATAACATGACGGGTGCCACTAGTGGAGCAGAAACTGTCAGGTTACTTTTTAAGATCACATGGGCTCAACCTCGTTTTTTTTTCTGACTGGGATTTAGTTGCTCAATTTTTAATTTTCTATGTAGTGTGTTTTTTCGCCGTGTTGTTTTTATTTTTGGTCAGATATTATTTAATAGAAATAAGGAGATGTGTTATGACTGACGAAGATACAACTCTCCATCAGAGACCAAACAACTATATATAGTCACTTTACGGCCTTCAACAATGAACATTTAACATACCGTATAGTAAGCTACGAAGGGGTCCGGCATGCCGAAATGTGAAACATTTCAAAAGAGAAAACCAATTTTCTGGTTTGTCTGTTTTAAGTCGACTTATGATCTTTGATTGTCCCCTTGGTTTCTCCTGTCTCTTTTCGCTAAAACACGTTTCGCGCATACGGGAATCGGCATCGGCGTACGTTTCAAGTAGGGTTATGGAAGCCCTGTACCATTGGATGCGAAGAAGAATTTTATTATGAAATAAAAACATTCACTTCTCTATAGACTGTTAAACGCAGTAGGTGTCTCACGTAACCCGTCTAGTATTGCACAAAATGCTTGGTTACTGGTCAATGATGCTAATAACCGGTCCTTGACAAATCTGGTTAAAATTCAGACCTATATTATAACGAAATCAGAGAACTATATTTTAATTAGATTGCTAATTTGGCCCTTGATCACTACACATATAAAAAATACACTTCAGGGCAGACGATAAAGAAAATATCTTATATTGATTTTCAAGTTTTGTCGAAATATGCAAGAATGCAAAGAGAAACATTTCTTTATGAATTATTTGTCGACATATTTCAAGTTGATATTAGGCATGTCAAGTTGGGCCTATAACACAAAATTTTAATACTTCTACAAAAAAGTCACCATATGCGCAAATTTCAAGAAGTTTAATTTAGAAAACATATTTGGTTGAATACTAGAGATCCCATTTCACCGAATGCGACTTACAACACAAACCTTATCTTTCAATCATGAGCAACACGACGGGTGCCAACAGTGGAGCAGGGACTGATCATGATTACCCTACAGTTGAGTAATAATTATTAAACCTTCATATAATAGACTTTCAACCTAAATTCAATCATGAATAAGTAAAGCAAGCGAGACATTTCAGCATGTGCATTCTTGTTTTTTATTGCCTTGATTTTTATCTTGATTTCGTAGTAAATAGTAAACCGACCAATCGAACGCAACTGAACGTGGACCGTCTCAAGATAGTTTTTTAGAGGATCGTGATATATTATTTTGTATTGAATTAAAACGTTATATTTTGAAAAGAAAAGTCAATATTTGAATGATGTTGCTTATAAGTGTTAAAACGAAACTGAAAATGTGGAAAATGTGGCATAAAATTGTGAATATTCCTAATCCAGATTTATTTTTTCCGAGTTCGATTTCGAAAATAGTATTCTCGTTTCCGGTAATATTCTTATCATCTGTCCCTGATCTATCTTGTTTGTACACATTTATCTCTAATTCACACGCAATAAGTAAAATTTATTCAGGATAATCTGCTTAGAGTCATCTCATCAACCCTATTTCTCAATTACCTCCGTCCCCAAAAGTATGACGGTGCCACTGAATTCATAGCCTTCATTCACGTTTTACTTCTGGAGATCGCTAAACCAGAGACCTACAGCAGTAGACAGTACATGTATAATGTGTGATATGTCTTTGGCTATACTAATCCTAACCGTAAAACAACTAGCACAAAAAACCTAGCCCAAAGTACAGCTGTCCCCATATTCAGAGATATAATATACGAGGGTAGTAATGCATTTTACCGTCAGGCGTCAAACGGTCATTTTCGGCTACCGTTAGCGTCAAATTGGTCAAAATTTTACCGTGATTCGTCAAAATATCCTTATCGTGTTTCGTCAGAGGTCTCAAATAATTATCGTTACGGTTATTTTTGCAAAAAAATTAACGTGATTAGTCAAAATCAGTCGATTGTTTTATCGTCTAAAAGAAAGTGTACATTTTATCGTCATGCACCAAAAATCACTGTTAACATCATTTGGCAATATTTTTTATCGTTAATCGTCATGAAGATACCCCCAATATGACCCTCATATACGCATATATAGAATACATATATATAATAACTAAGAACCAGGAAAGAAATAGTTAGGCAAATCAGGAAAATTTTGTTAGTTTTTTTCCCATAATTATTTATTTTGTTGCTATTACCTTGCAATCCTGTTTTTCTTCGCAGCCGTCGCTGTGACTTTAAAAACGAAGAACAGCAATAAAAGAACTGTTCCTTTCGATCTGGTTTTGCCAAGTGCGTTAGGATTTTGTTTCATGATTTAAAGCAACATGAACTTTCTTTTCCATTACTATTTATATGTAACCTACACAATTTGGGACTAACAAAACCATGAATTTGGATGCCACAAAAACGATATTATAACAGTACATGTATAAAACTATGCTATGAAAACATAGTTTATATGGTATTTGCAGGACTTACAGATGTCTAACAACATTATAGACACAGACAGTGAGGATGAATTACCACCAGGATGGGAAGAAAGAGTAACATTTGAAGGAAGAGTATTTTATGCCAGGTATGTTAGACTTCTAAAGTCACAGCCAACAAATCAACTTATTTTAATATAATACAAAATTGGGCCTCTTCATACAATTGCAATTTTAGTAAACATGTATCTTACATTCTTTACATTGAATTTTACCATAGTTTTTATGTAGCCTTTCTGTGAGATTTCTTATTATTTCAATAGTGTGAAGTGGAAAAATTTGTTTAGGGACTTATTTTGGCTACTTTTAGGATAATGATAAAATTACCCCTTATTTAAGTTTGATATTTGATAAAGATTAGAACTAGGAACAAGAAAAGTGCAAAAATAGGTCCTTGTTTGGCCTTGAAATCTTGAAATTTAGACTGAGTATAATGCTCTATAGGTGAAGTTTTTCACCGGAAAAGAAACTGCTACTAGTACTTTCCCTGATTTAAATATCATTTGACCCAAGTGACATGAAATGTTAATCCATGGGGTAGCAATGCACAGTTTGAAGTTGTTTTGCATTTTGGCCCAGTGGACTTTTCTAATATGAAAGTTATTGTGCAATAAAATTCATTTTTAGACAGCTGATGTCTATTTAAGCCTTCAAAGTGGGTTTATAGGAACATCAAGATTATTTTTACTGTTTTATGGGCTATTTTCTGATCCAGAAATTATTGTTGTGTTAACAAAAATTTTTTTCGCACAAACCTTTCGATGCAATTTTACGAAAAAATGAGACAAAAGACGTATGATTTTTATTTGATCTCTTGATAGATATATGTAAACAGTTTCAGAAAAGGTATCACTCCAAGGGATTGAAATTCTACTTTTGGCCAAATTTTGAGGAAATATGTGGCATCTTTGCACCCCTTTTTGCAATATTTTATAGCAAATTAATGCAGATTGTTGCTATGGATACACCAAAAAAGAAATTGTATTTAACCATTTCAACTACTGGAAATCAAATCTATGGAAGATACTGATTACAAACATATGCACATATATGACACAAACAGTAAGCTTAATTTGTAAAAAAGCAAGGAAAATGGGATGGTAAAATTTATGAGGGTAAATTTTTTTTTTCCTAACTGTAAACATTAAGTCCTTGTTTGGCCTTGAAATCTTTTACTGTAACAAATTTTACCATCCCCTTTTCCTGACGCCATTCCCTCATTTAATTTGAATGTTTACGAATTATTTGTAGAAATATTTAAACAAAAATATACATGTTTCATAAGACTTTATATTGGCTACTCACCTTACCAGTAAAAAAATATATATTAAGTTTTCTATCGTGAATTTTAAAGTACATATGTGTTACCATATTTATGAGATTATTGCTATTCTAACTATTCTTATGATTAACCAAACAAAGGATATATTGTAATTTAACTCTTCAGTGTGTCTATCGTCCTGAACATTCATGAATATGTGCCACTTGATGTTAAGCAATCAACAATCAATCAATCTGTGTGTCTAATTTCAGTTGTGGATTCTTGATTTTTTATTATCACATGAAGGTTGTTTCTTGTATTTACATTCACATGTCTTAAAAACACAAATTGTGAAAAGTTTAATGTTTACAATAAATAAGAAATCTATGGTTTACATTGTAATTAGTATAATACTATGCATTTATACATGTGTGTTACATATGTGAATAGCATATCATCATTATATCTGTTTTCAGTCATGATCAACAAAACACTCAATGGAAACATCCTGTAACAGGGAAAGAAAAATATGTCAGAGGAGGTGGGTTTCAGTGTTGTATTTACAAGGCTACAATGTTCTTTTAACCATAAATAGTGAATATTTTTCAAGGTTAGAAATGTGTTAGTCTGTGGTATGAGACCTTTTAATAATGTTAATACCTTTTTTTACATTGGAGGTCCAAAACACTCTTCAAAATCTTCAGGTTTTGTCCATAGTTAATGAATACATTATTAAATGTTTTCTATAAGGCTTGTGATTTTCCATTTTTTTATGACAAACATGTTATTAAAAAAAACTAAATGAATTAAGATCGAAAACTGCAAGTCCATTTACAACATGAAAAATGTGTACCCCTGAGTTAGAATTTGTGGATTCCTTTGTTTTGTGGGTACCAATTTTTGTGGATTCAGGAAAACTTATATTTTGATAAATATTTGATTCATGGTTTTGCCAATATCTGCACCTATAGAAAATTTGTGCTTCACTGAACATTTAAATTAGTGGTTTATCTGACATGTTTCAACATTGAAAAATATATTCATATTTAATTTCTATGCTACTTCAGTAAGGTACTGGTAAACACTTAAATTGTAAAAGATTGACACTATATTTTCCTATTTACAAAAATAAGGTGGGTTAGGGATCCAGGCCACCGTTTCAGAAAAGGTCGTAGATCGTGAAATAGGTCGTACGACCATGTTTACGATATGCGACCGTATCACAAATATTTAAGATTTACGATAAATATTGGTCGCAAATTCCCACTTGTGTAAGAGCAGTTGTAAATGGGAAAGTTTGCAAATAGCGGGGAAATATGTGTCATGTCATATAGCAATGGCTGCATTTTTAGCTTTTACGCGAACATCTGAAAGAAGAATTACTTCAAGAGATAAAGGAATCATTACACTGCGAGTTTTTGAGATGTAAAATTTTACAGTAAATTGTTAATTGAATAAATTGATGAACCTACAGAAGGTTATGATAATGGAAGTCGTAGACTTGCGAGAGGTTCAATTGTCAGTCTAACTGTAACATTAAGAAGTCATGCAATTCCAGCCCTTCTGCAGTTGTTACATCCTTTTATTTTTAAATAATTTGAGCTCCTACCATTCTGTCCCAATAAACAATTTATCTCCCTTGAAAGACTTTAAGTGGTTGTCGTTTGTTTATGTGTTACATATTTGTTTTTCGTTAATTTTTTGTACATAAATTAGACCGTTAGTTTTCTCGTTTGAATTGTTTTACATTGTCATTTCTGGGCCTTTTATAGCTGACTGTGCGGTATGGGCTTTGCTCATTGTTGAAGGCTGTACAGTGACCCATAGTTGTTAATTTCTGTGTCATTTGGTCTCTTGTGGAGAGTTGTCTCATTAGCAATCATACCACATCTTCTTGTTTATATTTAAAAATAAGAAACAAAACAATAAACGGTCATGTATTATGATACGTGTTATTTATCTCACGATTGAGTATTTGTTGAAAGTCTTTACTCTTTAAATACATGGATTGTACTCCATATAACAAATGCTCAGTAGTGCCGGAGAAAGGTCCAGACAATGAAATTTGAACATTGATATTTGAACAAATTAAGATGAAAATGCACAGAGATAAGAATGTAGAGATGTGGGTGATACGTCAAAGATACAACAATCATCAAAACTAAAAAAAAATAAATCTCCTGTATTTGTTTATCCCACAAGGTCAACATCTGAAAATAGTTAAATTGGAATATTTTGTATACTGTGGATTAATTATTATTCGTTGGATACCAATTTTCGTGGATTTTGTGGGTACAGGTGAACCACGAAATTAAATATTCCACGAATGACAAATTTCCTATAGGCTTGTATGCAGACTTTGGCAAAACCACAAAATTAAATATCCACGTACATGTAAGTTTTCCTTAATCCACGAAAATTGGTACCCACGAAAATGAATGAATCCACAGTATATATTTTTCAACATTTTTCATATGTCTTGAAGACTTTAGAAACAAAATTGCGAAGAGGTAAGGACAACAATTTCCACTAAATTTATTTCACATCATGGCACTCTTGTTACAAAAAGTCTTCTTCGATCTGTTTTTTTTTTTGGCTCATCTCGAAAGTGCAGATTAAAGGATATACTCCACGGCTCCTGTGTGAGTTTTCTTGTTTAGTAAATAAAGGGGAAAATAAGCCTAAAAAGTTTTGTTGTAAAAAGTTGTAGCTTTTAAAATATTACTAGTGACTTTTTTATATTTCAGGCTTTCTCTTAAATTGTTACATTATTTTGTGAATTGCGTTTTAATGCCGATCATTGATTGTTTCTATTAAATTTATTCACAATTTTTGTCGAGCCTGCGACTTTTGTCGCAGAAAGCTCGACATAGGGATAGCGATCCGGCGGCGGCGTTAGCTAACTTCTTAAAAGCTTTATATTTTAGAAGATGGAAGACCTGGATGCTTCATACTTTGTATATGGATGCCTCATGTTACGAAGTTTCCGTCAGTCACATGTCCAATGTCCTTGACCTCATTTTCATGGTTCAGTGACTACTTGAAAAAAAAGTTCAGATTTTTTGTAATGTTAAATTCTCTCTTATTATAAGTAATAGGATAACTATATTTGGTATGTGCGTACCTTGCAAGGTCCTCATGCCCGTCAGACAGTTTTCACTTGACCTCGACCTCATTTCATGGATCAGTGAACAAGGTTAAGTTTTCGTGGTCAAGTCCATATCTCAGATACTATAAGCAATAGGTCTAGTATATTCGGTGTATGGAAGGACTGTAAGGTGTACATGTCCAACTGGCAGGTGTCATCTGACCTTGACCTCATTTTCATGGTTCAGTGGTTATAGTTAAGTTTTTGTGTTTTGGTCTGTTTTTCTTATACTGTATGCAATAGGTCTACTATATTTGGTGTATGGAATGATTGTAAGGTGTACATGTCTAGCTGGCAGGTGTCATCTGACCTTGACCTCATTTTCATGGTTCAATGGTCAAAGTTAAGTTTTTGAGTTTTGGTCTTTCTTTCTAATACTGCATGCAATAGGTCAGCTATATTTGGTGTATGGAATGATTGTAAGGTGTACATGTCTAGCTGGCAGGTGTCATCTTACCTTGACCTCATTTTCATGGTTCAGTGGTCAAAGTTAAGTTTTTGTCGAGCCTGCGACTTTTGTCGCAGAAAGCTCGACATAGGGATAGTGATCCGGCGGCGGCGGCGGCGGCGTTAGCTAACTTCTTAAAAGCTTTATATTTTAGAAGGTGGAAGGTCTGGATGCTTCATACTTTGTATATGGATGCCTCGTGTTACGAAGTTTCCGTCAGTCACATGTCCAATGTCCTTGACCTCATTTTCATGGTTCAGTGACTACTTGAAAAAAAAGTTAAGATTTTTTGTAATGTTAGATTCTCTCTTATTATAAGTAATAGGATAACTATATTTGGTATGTGCGTACCTTGCAAGGTCCTCATGCCCGTCAGACAGTTTTCACTTGACCTCGACCTCATTTCATGGATCAGTGAACAAGGTTAAGTTTTGGTGGTCAAGTCCATATCTCAGATACTATAAGCAATAGGTCTAGTATATTCGGTGTATGGAAGGACTGTAAGGTGTACATGTCCAGCTGGCAGGTGTCATCTGACCTTGACCTCATTTTCATGGTTCAGTGGTTATAGTTAAGTTTTTGTGTTTTCGTCTGTTTTTCTTATACTGTATGCCATAGGTCTACTATATTTGGTGTATGGAATGATTGTAAGGTGTACATGTCTAGCGGGCAGGTGTCATCTGATCTTGACCTCATTTTCATGGTTCAGTGGTCAAAGTTAAGTTTTTCAGTTTTGGTCTTTTTTTCTAATACTATATGCAATAGTTCAACTATATTTGGTATGTGCGTACCTTGCAAGGTCCTCATGCCCGTCAGACAGTTTTCACTTGACCTCGACCTCATTTCATGGATCAGTGAACAAGGTTAAGTTTTGGTGGTCAAGTCCATATCTCAGATACTATAAGCAATAGGTCTAGTATATTCGGTGTATGGAAGGACTGTAAGGTGTACATGTCCAACTGGCAGGTGTCATCTGACCTTGACCTCATTTTCATGGTTCAGTGGTTAAAGTTAAGTTTTTGTGTTTTCGTCTGTTTTTCTTATACTGTATGCCATAGGTCTACTATATTTGGTGTATGGAATGATTGTAAGGTGTACATGTCTAGCGGGCAGGTGTCATCTGACCTTGACCTCATTTTCATGGTTCAGTGGTCAAAGTTAAGTTTTTGAGTTTTGGTCTTTTTTTCTAATACAATATGCAATAGTTCAACTATATTTGGTGCATGGAAATATTTTATGATCTATTTGTCAGTCACGCAGGTTTTATTTGACCTTGACCTCATTTTCAAGGTTCATTGCTCAGTGTTAAGTTTTTGTGTTTTGGTCTGTTTTTCTTAAACTATAAGCAATAGGTCAACTATATTTGTTGTATGGAAGAATTGTTAGCTGTACATGCCTGCCCAGCATGGTTCATCTGACCTTGACCTCATTTTCATGGTTCATTGGTCAATGTTTAGTTTACTTGGTTAATGTTAAGTTTATGTGACAGTTGTAATAAAGCTTTATATTTAGGACTATCAACATAATATCAATGATTAGTAAAGAAGGTGAGACATTTCAGCGTGTGCACTCTTGTTGAGTTTTGGTCTTTTTTTCTAATACTATATGCAATAGTTCAACTATATTTGGTGTATGGAAATATTTTATGATCTATATGTCAGTCACGCAGGTTTTATTTGACCTTGACCTCATTTTCAAGGTTCATTGCTCAGTGTTAAGTTTTTGTGTTTTGGTCTGTTTTTCTTAAACTATAAGCAATAGGTCAACTATATTTGTTGTATGGAAGAATTGTTAGCTGTACATGCCTGCCTAGCATGGTTCATCTGACCTTGACCTCATTTTCATGGTTCATTGGTCAATGTTTAGTTTACTTGGTTAATGTTAAGTTTATGTGACAGTTGTAATAAAGCTTTATATTTAGGACTATCAACATAATATCAATGAT